TTGAAATGAACACAGTTTTAGGTTCCTGATCTAAAGTTTAATATATTCTGTGTGACTTTGGTATTTTACTCATCAACTGTTGCGAGGGTGGGGGGAAGGGAAAGCATAAACAAAGGTGGGCTCTTTAAATCCTCGGTGTGCTTGCTAATATAAACATTCGCGTGCCTGATTTATATCCAATTCATTTTTTTATTCTATTTTTCCCTCTTCTATGTATGGTCTTTTAGGGTTACTATGTGCAGTTCTGTTACGTTTCGCATTGCCTTCAGATATATTTCCATTTCTTCTATTTTTATTTCGGAAAGGGTTAATAAGCAAGTTCTACTTTCAACTGCAATTATTTTTGTGAAAGGTGTCAATGGAAATTTTATTTCACTGAGGGCCTTCTTTGATTCTGGTTCTCAAAATAATTTCATTACTAAAGAATGCATGGAATTATTGAATTTGAAGAAAAGAAAAATAAATTCTTCTATTTCAGGTATCAATGCTGCAGTTATGGGTATTATGAAAGAGACTACAGTAACCATCATTAACACTACCACAGATTTTATTCGTACTTTACAATGTTTTGTTGTTCCAAAAATAACTTGCATAACACCAGCTAGATATTTAAACATTTCCAATCTTAAACAATTGTAAACCATTGATTTAGCTGATCTGGAGATTTATAAGGCTGGCCTAATACATGTCTAACAAAGTAACAAAGTATTTTTTTATTTTTATTACAATGAAATAGCTGAATAAATGCTACAGAAAGCAAGAGCTGACTTTCAGGAGGTCAACATCTGCATGATAGTATTTAGTGAATATATCATTAGTGGATCAGTACACATGCCGCAAGAATGTAATATTGATAATTATTAAGGGGCTATTGAGAAATTGTGGATCATTTATCTGACAATTTGAGAAAATTTTTGGAGACTGAATGGGTTCATGAAGCAAAAAAGGTGAAGAGTCAGAAAGAGGACTTTTGTGAACAGCACTTTCTTCACACGCACTGTAGGCAAGATGATGGTAGAGCGAGTAAAAATACCAATTAAGGAGGAAGGGCTTAGCTTTTTAGGTGAATAAACAGAAAACGCTATTAACCCCTTAACTGCCGCGGACGTATATATACGCCTTGCTCAGCCGATGCGTTAACTGCCCCCAGATGCGCAGCCGATGTGTTAACTTTGCGAATAATTTTAGGTGTAGCAGCGCAAAGCAAATGATAGCAGTTTGGAAGGACGTATATATACGCCTGGGGCAGTTAACGCATCGGCTGAGCAAGGCGATATATACGCCCGCGGCAGTTAAGGGGTTAAAAGACCGAATTATTTACTTAAATATCTCACAATGAAGCCCAGATAAATTAAGCCACTCTGAAGAAGCTGCTGAAAAGGTTACTCTAGTTTGTTTTCAGGCCTGATAAACCTATACTAAACCTAGGGTAATGTTCAATGCCACTTCTCCTACGATTGCTGAATTTCGCTAAACAATGTTTTACTAAATGGAGAGTAAGTTCGAAACCAATTATTTGATATTATTTGCAGATTTTGTACTCATAAAATTTACCTTTACAAGAGATATCATTTTACACATTTTATGGAAGAGTTAAAAAGAAGAATAGAATATATATTATAGATTGAAGATAATAACTTATACTTCCAAACACCATCTCGTAACATGCACACTTAACCAATCAGCATAGGACAAGAGAAACAATTTTGCATTAGTAGCGCAAACAGTACAAAGGCATTTTCATACTGAGCACATATTGACCGGAGTCCATACTATAATAGAAGCTCAAGAATTACAATTGTAATTGACTGAAATACTATCATGCAGAAGTATGCTTCTGCACAGATGGTGTGCAGAATCGCCCGGATCATCTGCAGCATCCGGATGAAAAAGAGGAATACTCCTTCAGTAATTTCGAAGATAATTGGAGCATCAAGACTTTAGGATTATTATGGAATCCAAAAGCAAATTGTTTTTTTTTACAAATCAAGAAACCAACTACAGTCAAAAGTCTTTCATCCGGACTTGTCAGGACTTTGGCGATTCCGGATTATAGATCATCAATTTAAATCTGGTAAGATGGCATGCAGAAATCATAAAATTAAAAAGATTAAACTGTAATTTATGAAATAAAGAGCAATTATGATCTAAAGGGTATCAAAATTTACAACAAAAAAAAAGAAAAAAAAGCTTAATATTTATTTGTTTACTTTATTAAACATTTCTTTCAATGTGCAAAATTAGAAAATTGCAACCAAAAAACTATTTGACGTATATTCGTGATATTTATAATGACGAGGAATTTGATTTAAATCATACCCTCAGCACAGATAAAACTCAAATAGCACCTTTAAATCCACAGTCAGACAGCACGGTAAAGAGGTTTAATCAAACCATCGGCTGATGAAACAACCTCTTGCTGATGATTTCTAGAAAATAACACGACTGCACTTGGATTTTACTTTTCCTCTTCCTGACCTATCGCAGTGTTGTTCACATGACTACTGGCTATTCCCCATTCCAGATGCTCTTTGGTAGGGACTTTCTTCTCTCTTGTGATCCCCTGTTTGGTTGCCCTCTAAATGCACCTTTATCACCTGAAGGTACATTCCAGATCTCCAAGCACAGTTTGAATTGGTGCACACGTTTGTACGAAAGCAAATCAGTTTGGCAACGGAGAGGATGAAGATCTGGAAGACCTGATATGACACAAGAGCTACAGGATGTTATTCAAATGAAGGTGACAAGGTGTGGTTATGGAATCTGACAAAAAGGATTCTCTCCTAAATTGAAGTCATCTTGGTCCTTAAACAGGCTGCACAACACCGTAGTTAGGATCTGTAAGTCATCAAACTCCAAGCTTAAGTCGTTCATTATGACAGGCTAGCCCTTCATTAAGACCCCATAAAGTATATAATGTAAATATAATATACAGTCAAAAGTCGTTAATTCGGACTCCCATAATCCAGAATAATCTATAATCCGGACCTCAAAGCTAAAAACTTTCTGCGCATGCGCCGCGTTGACACATGCGCATAGGCGTTTACGCGTGCACGTAAGACCTTTACGACTGCGCAGATGCGTGTGCGCAAGTGCAGAATACATTTTCGTGTGCACGTTTAATGTATAATGGACGGTATAAGCTAAAATTATCTATTTCAGTTAATGTTGATGATTGCGTTGTTCCTTAATCTTCGAATCAGATGCGGCTTATTATTTTTTGCAGACTGTAAGAGCAATGTTATAAAAGTAAACATGAACTTTCGATTATGTCAAATAGAATTTCCGATGCTGGAGCTCCCAAAGGATCTACAAAACGAAAGTATGTTTCGATGTCCATCAAACAAAAAGTGGAATTGCTGCAAAAAATGGATAAAGACATGAAGAAGGTGACAGAGAGGTTAGTGAAGACGAAAAAATTTCGATTGACAAGTTATGTCTGTTTATAGAATTAAAGAGAAAGTATTATCACATAAAACGAAGCAACTTAAATAACTTACATTGAAAGAAATGTTTAATAAAGGAAACAAATAAATATTAAGTTTTTTTTTTTTTTTTTTTTGTAAATTTTGATACCCTTTAGATCATAATTGTTCTTTATTTCATAAATTACGGTTTCATGTTTTTAATTTTAGAATTTCTGCATGCCATCTTACGAGATTTAAACTGATGATCTATAATCTGGAAAAATCGATAATCCGGAATCGCTGAAGTCCCAACGAGTCCGGATTAACGACTTTTGACTGTAATACTTTAGTATCTTTTTTTATGTTATTTAATGAAATTGTTTTAGAATTGCATTGATCTGGCAACACTGTAAATGTATATAGAGAAAGGGGGAATCCAAATGGCATTTCAGGGAAAATGTTCTTAGCTGTTATTTCAGCTTTGCCTACTCATTATGTAGAAAGACTATATGAAATGATGATAATTTTTCATAATTTATTTTTATATATATGACAAATTATAAAAGTGTATGTGCTTATGTGACATTCTCTTGATATTTAACTGTACAATGTATATCTCAATATATGCTGAATCTGTTCTCTTCAACTTTCATATTCAAATGCACTTACGTACCGTATACAGTACAAAGTCCGATATCCGGATGTCCATCATCCGGAATGATCTAAAATCCAGACCTCAAAACCACCAACAACGTTTTTCTCGTAGGCTTTAGACATACGCATTTAATCCCCCCTCCAAGCATAATAAAACATTTTCGGATATTGAAAAACAAAGGTGAAATTTTCCAATTAACGGATTTTCTAAAGAAATGTGGAGAAGCGGTAATAAATGAAGATGATATAAAAAAAGTTTTTCATTGTGATAACAATGCTTCTCAATCGTCAATCATTTAATGAATGGCGAAATCTGTAGTATGATTCTAGATTCAGAAAATACAGCTAACGATAGTGAAGAAAGTGACAGAGAAGTTCCTAAAAATAAGAAAATTTTGATTCACAAGTTAGTCAGAATTCTCAAAACAATTTCACGATGGCCGCTACACAAAACCAAAATAAGAAGTGAAAGGATAGCATAAGATCTGTGTCCATGTACACATCGATCCTGTTTTTACTTAAAAAAAAATCCTAGAATATCACAAACTAGTCATTGCGCACTGCCTTAAATATGTCCATGTACACATCAATCTATTTTCAATTAAATAAAATCGGGAGCTAAAACAAAGTTAAAACTATTGTGGTAACCAGAAGTGAGGTTTCATCGCCAAAATTTTTAAAAAATTGTCGCCAATCGCAGGGGCACCCAATTCTACACTACAGCCAGGACGGCATATGCAAGAGTTACTCCGTTTTAAAAGCTTAGTTATATTGGAATATTAATAAGCAAATGTCACATCAAACTCCTTCATTTAATAATGATGGGAATTATAAGGGTATTTGTTACAACACAAAAGTTTATTCAACCGCACAAATGGTAGCATTTAAACTAAATACCGTCAGATTGACAAGAAAAAATAAATAATTAGAAAATATTACCTGCTTTTTTTTATCTTGAAGTCAGAAAAACGAGGAAAATTTTTATTGCGCAACCCCTCACGTGTCAACTTCTCATCAGCCTTTATTCCTATTATACAGGAATATTCATGGGACCTAGTCGTTATTCATAGGAACATTTTTGTCTTCTCTCATTGGCCTACAAATAATGCTGCCAGATATTAAATGAAAGAAATGCATGTTGATTTACTTTTGAAAGTATTGGTATATCCCAAGGACTACACTCCGTGCCCAAGGAGGTGGGAATAGAACATGGAGGTAAGAAGTAAGATGGAGTCGTCCTAAACAAGTTTCTCCGTACCCTGCTCTGAAGCACCGGCGATCCTACGTGGTGACCAAAACATTGGGTCATTTACCACTGAGTTCTATGGGATTTGACGCGTTCGGGTGTAAATATTTGGTAATTAGTCGCAAATATACATATAAATGTATATATTTCTTTTTCTACAAACTTCAGAGTCCTACGTATGTGAAAACAAACATTTCATTTGAACCAGAATTAAATGCTATACTTTCACAGGACAGTTTTCTCAGAATATTTAATTTGAATGAAATATTTTCACAAGTTTTCGTTAATAAATTAGAAAAAAAAATTAAGTATTTCGATTTTATTCGGTTAAGGTACAAAAATTAAGATCAAAGTTTATTGTATTATTAATATTAAATTATGCATTATTTCTTTTCTATTATAGAGCTTCTTCCTAAAATACTTTCTTAATATGACATGATTTTTGGTTCTTTAAATCGAAAAATGTAAGTCAATTTATAATTAATGCTCTATTCGGTTCATTTAAATTAGAGAATTATTAGGAATTAGCGAAATACTTTAAATAATATTCGCTAATTCCTATAATTAAATAGGTATAAATAGTATTTGACTTTCTCTGAACATTCTGAAAGGAATAAAATAAGTTTTTTTTTTTTTTTTTTTTTTTTTTTTTTTTTAAGTATTATTTAAACTTGTAACTGAGTTATTAAAAAATGTAAAGGGAATAATTCTTTAATTATACTTATCAGATAGATTTTTTTTTTACCCTTCATTTCAACAATACATATTCCAAAACTCTTTATTACGTTCTTAAGTGCGCATTCATAGCATTTGCTTTCCAATACATTTTAACAGATTGCTTTCCAATACGAACAATTCTTGCTTAAATAGTTTATAACGTATTTGTCAACAGGATTTCAATTTATGTTTACAATTCAATATTAAGGTTATTATATATTTAGATAACATTTATAATCATTACAAATTAGATAACATTTAATCATTAGATTTCTTCACAGTACTTCACAGTTGTTTATAAGTGAATAAATCTTCATTTCAAATACATTTATAAATAATTTAATGAATATTTAAGTATTTTGTCAGAGGCAGATACATGCTTTTTGCAAGCACATGCATAAATACCCATACATATTTCCTATTTATCATTTCCGGCATGTGCAATCTTTAATTTCTATGCATTCACTATATTTTTCGTGTAAAGTAATTTACACTAATTTAGCATACACCCGAAAGTTTTTACATAAAAAATATATATGAATTAATTTGAATGAAAATTATAAGTATTATTTTTAATACCCACTCAAAGGTCAGTTTTTCTTCAAAATTCCTCCAAGATGGCATCTCTCTCTTTAGGCAGATAGCCCTTGCATGCGTTACTCTATTTAATAAAAACTTAATCTGACCTATGTGCCTAATTACAAATATTTAACATACGGATTTTTATATTTACATTTAGCCATCAAGTTTCAAAACTTTTCAATCTTCTAGAAAATAAATTTTGGCAGATCTCTTTTAGCAATTTTCTTAAAATCTATATTTTTGTAGTCCAACAGCTTAGAATTTTTATAAACAAATTCATTAATCAAAATCGCTGTTGTTAGTTATCGAAAAATAACCAATGTGATTTTTGCGTAAATGTCAGTAAACTATACAAATTGCTATTATCTATCACACTATGAATGTTTCTTTCATGCGAGAGTGTCCCTTTTTTGATTTCTATGGAACTGTCGTGTGTCGAAATACTATCAGAATCTTGTCAAGCGAGCTTCTGAATGTAAACAAAGAACACCCCGTCTGGTGACCCAAGCTTCAAAGCAGTGCTTCACTTCTAGCGCGGAATGGCCCCTCCTCCCTTTCCTACCTCCATGGAATAGAAGGAGGGAGGGTTCGCAGTTTCGTCTAATCATGGAATGAAACTCAACCGAACAAGCGGCGTCCATGTTTGTACCTTCAAAACATGCATTACGGCAGTGAAACATGTTTTTAAGCTGTTCCGTGCCGTGTTTTCCACTAAAAATATGTAAAATTTATAATGAAAGACTTCGCTATTGTAGTTTTTTTTTTAAAGTTAAAGTGATATCCTTTGATACAGAAATCATTAAAAAATACTTAAAATACAGAAAGTATGAAATCATTAAGAATAGTTCGAATCTAATTGCTGTGCATAACATTAAAGCCTTTAAAAATAATGTTTATGCGTATTTCAGAATTTTTTAAGGTTTTATTAGCAACCTGTTGGATGTACTTTCCAAGTCTTTTTAAGAATGATATTTCTGATTTATTCCAATATTGTTTATTAAAGAATCATGTAAAATAATTTTAATCTGAAATTAATAGCACATAATATCTAAAAAATAGTCACAGTTGCATTTTTATTTAAATGAAAGTGTTTAAATAGAATCTTTTCAAACAACAACCTTATACAACAGAAATAAAATTAATAAAAAAACCGTTTATGTAAATTCTGATTTCAGTTTATGCGCGTTCATATTTTGAATCTCAAAGAATTATATATATACCGATACCTATATTTTTGGACCATCTTTCCACATGTGTCAGTGTGAAATATTACTTTTACGCTACCTGCCTACAATTTGTAAATTTATGCCCCCAAAAAATTACCAGAAAAGATAGTTTATCTTGATCAAATGCACAATTAACTCCTAACATTCACAACACGTAATATAATGAATACATAAAGAAAAGCCTACTTTATTAACCCTTACATTCAAAAATAGAACAAATTGGGTCTTACTTTCATGAAATTCAACGAATTACCTAAAATATTCAAATTACAGTTTAAATCCTAGCAACAGCATTGTATGGTGAACAAATGTCGCTATAAACAGAAAAATTAAAATGATTTCATATTTTGATTATTATTAAGTCCTTTTTCACATGTGGAAAGAATACAACACCGACATTGTGATATTTTACCTAAGTTATCAAATTACATAAAAAGTGAAAATCATACTTACGCGTGAAAAGTAATCCCAGGAATCTTTTTCGAAAATCTTTTGTGCATCCATATACAACACAATGCATTCTTCAAAAACAAAAGAAAAAATATTGCAATTACAGACTTCCTTGCACAAGTCACAGCGATAACAGGAACATGACCGCCAAGCTTCACCGTTTGAGTTGAACCTTCCTTCTATTGTAACCTCCTTGGTATATCCATGGTATGCCTGGTCGCGTATTTCCAAACCCTACCCCACTTTTAGAATTTTTGACGTCACGGAAATATCGACTAGTTTCACCTGGCAAGACGGCGTACCCAACACCGACTCTAGAGTCGGTGTTGGCGTACCCCACTTTTGACTACTACTGCGCGCTTTCGAAAAAATTGTGGTGCCGACTAGTGTGTTTAGGTGGTAATTGTGAGATTTTTCGCAATTTAAATATAAGTGGAAATTTACGCAAAATCTTAGTGAATGGTTATTGTTTATCGCCGTAGTAATCTGAGGAAGAAGAGAATGATTCACTTCTAATGTATACTTACAGTATGAAAAAATCTGGAAGGTGATACTCCGCAATAAATGTGATGCATTCATCGCAAAATTCAGCGACGCCAGTAAAACAAACGAGAGTGTTCGAAAAACTTATCCACTTCTGAAGTCGGTTTCATCCAAGGAGGTTAGAATAGAAGGAGGGAGGGTTCCGCAGTGGCTAATCACACCGACGATGCGAATAGCTAACAGGCTATTCACACCACCTACGTTCGCGCATGCGCTCAGGCAGCCCAGGTACCAGCATTTTACATCGATTTCCGTAAGGCAGGCGGTGGTGAGAGAAAAGGTTATTAAACCTAACTCAGCAATAAAAAGGGTTGTTAATAGTTCACCAGCAAGAGAATAATTTGCAAGTAATAATTATCATTACAAAGACGAGGTCAATCTATATACATGATAATGTCAGAAAATGATTAGATAAAATAGGGATTAATGATGGTTCTAATTGCGCGAGACGAGTAATTTTTAAATTTCTTTATGTAATGCAAAAGGCTACAGAAATTACTTAAATTCTTTTATTTAAGAGAAATTTTTTGCAAACTTAGACCCTATTCTTATAGCATAGGACTGTCAGAATTCATTATTCATAAGAACACTTACTGAAATAAATCCATATCATCACTTTTTCAGTATCCCAAGGTTCAAATGCCATATTCAAAATCACAAATTATAAAGAAAACCTAAAAAATCTGATAATCATTGGTGTGTGCAAAATTTTAATCTAAATCTCTTACATTAATTATTTCTGTCTTTAATTACATCCCATTATTTATTTCAATGTAATTGATTAATGTTTTGTACTAATATTTCAAAGTTCTTTGAAGAACTTTTTGTTCCTGAAAATGCAAATATTTCCAAAAAAATAAGCAGGCATACAGAATAATTCATTAATAGTTCATATAATCGCTTTTACTTATTTCGGTTAAATTTTCTACACAGAAATCCGCTGTCTAATTTTTAGTATCGTTTATCAGACGAAATTTTTCAAAGAGGAATGTGTGTATTTAATTATGGCAAAGCACACTAGGGCTACCTGCCTAAGAGGAGGGATGCCTTCGTGGAGGACTTTCTAAGGTAAACTGGCTCGTATACACATTACACATGGGGAAAACCACGAAAACGCCCATGCAGCCAGCCCGTTCGCGGGATTCGAACCTCGGACCGAACTACCAGTGTTCAGCGACTTTACCGCTCGGCCGCTGGTGGGCTCAAAGAGGAATGAATTAAAGGCTTTGTTGAGCAAAACACATCTTTAAAGCTAAATGTATTCTAAGAAGTACAAAAACTGTCAACACGATTTTGCCTCCCCTCTTCAAACAAGGCCAACTAGATATCTACAGGCCTGCTCCACCGATTTGTGACATCACAATCGAAGGCGA